TATATAATCATATAATGTTTGATATGGCCAGATATGGCCCAGATATAAGATTTCCATACGGGTTACTACCGACCCTCCGCCACCGACGCGCGGATTGCAGTCCTCAAGTTTTGCCTAGAATTATCCAATCAGAGACCTCGCGGATTGCGAGCTGATGTTGCCGGCACAGGTGCGAGCTGTCCAAGAAACAGCGGTCTCCAGACTAGTCGCGGGAGTACGTAGTCTGGGATGGCACAGCGAAGCCACATCTGGCCTCCTTCTGGGTTTCGGATCACCAGAGCAGCGGGTAACGTTCACGTTAGCTAATGACGTACCCTTGAGCCGTGCAATGTTACGGGCGCAGCCGCAGATGCATTCGAATATGTGTTGAACTTCACAGCGTGAGCCTTCCTACTATTTCAAATCAACCACCGCCTGGCTCGTGCTGCAACGGAATGTCACTCAGCTTTGCCGGCTGGGTGTACTCTGTACGCTAAGGTGAGAGAGACGGTTAGCAGCGGGCATTGGTTGCCAGGAAACAATGACTCAAGAAACCCCTACCTAAGGACCTGCGGCAGAAGATGCTCTGATTCCACTCCTGGCACGCTACATGGTTCGAGTCCCCGACTACGCAACACTTCTCAGAAGAGAGAAGAGGACGTATAGAAAAATAGTTTGTAGAATCAAAAGGAACCTTGGTCAGCATAGTAACAATACCCCAGCATCTCCTTGACTCTGGTGCCCTTAGAAGTAAAACAAAAAATGCGTTCGGCCTTGTTTCTTTTTTTTTGTTTTCGGGGGGGGGGGGGGGAGTATTTCTCAAGAAATGTACCGAAATACATTTCATCCTGATTGTATCGCGATGCAAAGAAACATTCCAAATGTATTTCAATACTGGAATACAGATACTGGTAAAACAAATGTGTCGCGATACAGAAATACACATACGAAATGTATTTCTGAAATACTATCGCGATACATTTGTATCGCGATACTGCCCAACCCTGATTGCGTCTCATCCGGTTCCTAGCAAGCTGACCCTGAGCACGGAGCAAGAAGTGTTCGGTGAAAGGGGGGGGGGGGGGTGCAACGATTTTAAGATAAAAAGAGCTTGCATCCTGTCGTTTTTACGTTGTTTATCGGGTGCCGGAGGATAGAGAAAAAATCTCCTTCATTATGGAGTTGTAGTAGACCGCGTCCACCGTCGCGCTAAGCTTACCGAAGCTTACCGAGACCGGAAACGACCGCGTGCCGTTAGCCTTCGCTGAAGAATTCCGGGTCTCGTTTCCGGTCGCGGTGAGCGCAGCGGGATAGCGGACGCGGTCTACTACAGCTTCCTATTAAAAAACGTCGCGCATTACGGCGAAAAGCTTACGTGACCTCGCTCTCGCCTCTAAGCTGCAGCTTAACGCCCGCTAATGTCAGCAGAGAGAGCGAGAGGAAGCGTCTTCCGAGATAGCACACGGGAACCTACACGGCATCCCGAGTTACGTCAGTAGAAGGGCGACCAGGTGTGACCCTGAAGACTGGGAGTGAGTTGAGGGGTGCCCGAAATGCCAATTTTTTATCTTTTTTTACACAACAACCAGGACACGCAGGAGAAATCGGTTTTCTGTTCTTTATTTAGAAGTGTCAGAGGGCGACTTCCCCAAATGTTTGACTGAAGTCCGGAAATCGTTGCATCCCCCCCTTTCCCCCTCTTATGGTCATGAAAAGGACAGTTCTGACCTTTTATATATATATTATATATATACATTTATTTACAAAAAAAGGAACTTTTTTATTATTTAATATATTTCGTTCGAAGACCGGTTTCGCCAAATCTTTTTAAGAACTTCACTAAAACATCGACATCTGACTGTGAGCGTTAAGGAACGCCGTTGCTGCAGCACATAACTTTTTTCGGGCTTGAGCATTGTTCTCGCGATTCCTCGTATCGGGCGCGTCTCTCCCCTTTCACCGCTACTCCCCGAGATATTCGCATTAAACGGCGGGCCTATCCTGCCAAGGTAGCACGCCCCCTGACTGGTCTCTCATTTTTATTCTTCTAATCCAATTTTCCTACCGCCAGTGACATGTTCACCTTGAGCGTCATGAACTACTACGTCGATTTCTCACTCCTCAATTAAATAAATAAAATTACTCTTTTTTGTCGTCAAACAAAATCGAGGCGCAATCCAACTGAACACCCTTTTGCCGGATGCACCCTCTGCAATTGTAAACTTCGATCTTACAGTGACAGTAAATAATATAATTCGTGACAGCGCTGGGAAAGATATAGGGAGCGCATAAGTAAGGCCGCAATAAAACCTGGCTTGGCTTCTTGCCTTTGAGTAGTGAATTAGGATACTTATGCGCGCATTTATATTGAGTTGTTTATTATTTTATCGAGGAAATATTTTTCTTGCTACCCAACTTTTGTTAGAATCACATATCACGCAGAGTATAAAATATACGCACAAACTATTTTTCTTTTTTTTTGCTGGTTGTGTTTGTATTTTACGCCCGTCAACAAATGACTCCAGTGTGCCACATTCGCCTCCAGAAGCACGCCAGTCATTGATTTAAATTAACCGTTCACGCTACAAACACAAAAGCTTGCAAGTGAAGACGGAGGACAAACAGCCGGAAGCAGCGCTACTTTTCGAAAATTTTACAACGCGGTCACTCTAAAACTACAAGCGTGTAGTGTTTCCAAATCATGGGGCGCTCATTTCCGCCTTGCGTTGGGCAGGCGGAGATGTGGATTAACTGTGCGCGTTAGGTCGGCGCTCCTTTACTCCTACTCCGACGCTCCGAGTTTCATACTCCGAGCGCCGCAACTAAACGACGCATAGCGTACAGAAGCGCGACACACCGAGGCTGCGTTCCAGACCTACTCGAATGGATCCGAGTTACCCTGGCGGATTATGTCACGTGACAGCAAAAACTAGAGAAACGCTGGACGCGGGTAGGTTTCCGATGACCAGCTTTACCCTAGACTTAGATCAAATAAGTTTTGGAACACGGCCAGAAACTATTAACGGGCCACACGAGCTCCTTCCGACCGTGGTTACGGGTGGCAGAAGCCGAAAATATTTCGAAGATAAATAATTAGGCCCGTGTGGAGCGGCAGCGCCTAAAGCAAAAGAGACGGCCCCAGGCAGCACAAAACGTTGTGGAGACGTCGAGAAAAAGTCCCGGACGTCCATGACGTCCCGCATGACTTCGATCACGTTTTTTTGACGTTGAGGTGACGTCCTTATATAACGTTCCATTAGAGTCCAATCAGTGACGTTGTGACGACGTTGTATTTCAACTCAAACGTCGTCAACGTTCCCACGACGTCGATGCACGACGTTCTCACAACGTCCAACGCTCACGTTTTTTTGACGTTGAACTGAAGTTCATAAATGACGTCCCATTACTGTCCTGTCCGTGACGTGCTGGCGACGTCACATTTCAAATTTAACGTCGTCATCGTCGCCACGACGTCAAGACAAAACGTTTTAGCAACGTCGAACACTCACGTGTCTTCGAAGTTAAAATAAAGTCCAGGGTGCCGTTACATTATTGCCCCGTCAGTGACGTTTCAGCGACGTCGCGTTCACACCTAAATGTCGTAAACGTCATACAAGACGTGCTTGCAACGTCGACCACTCACGTTTTCTTCGACGTTTTTAGATTTTCCAGCTCAATCTCCAGCCGCAGAATCACTGTGGTCAAGGTGACAGTGCTCAAGAGCCGCAAACAAAACTTAATTTTTGAGAGGTTGAGAAGTTTAATTATTTATACATTAATTTGCGTATTTCCAAATGCTATTAATTGCACATCGATGACGTTAAAGAGGGCATTTACAAAACTCAATGTACACGGAAGAAAAAAAAAATAATATGAAAGCATGTTGGGAATATCATTCCTTTTAGATTTGCTTGTTATAATTTTGGTTTGTTTAAAATATTGTTACGGGTTTAATTTGCGAAGCGCATGGCGTCTAGAACGGATCGAATTGTACCATTCTTGCGTTTTGCACGCGCGTTGTCGTTTTGCATGGGTCCTGGGCCCTGGCACGCGCCTCAGGGGCGCCGCTACACTATCCCCTCTCCAGGTGATTTCAGGCCTGCATCCTTTCCTAGGAGCATCCATACTGCTCCGCGACCACCCGAGATTGTTTTAAGGATCGTCAATTTCTCTTCGTATTTTGTAACCCATGCTCACCTGCGCACAACCAAAAATTCGCATCAACATCACAGTTCATTCATAACACCAACTTCCAGCCCCTTAGCGCTTTCGATAGATCGGGGCGCAAAATCTTGTCACGCGACTGTCACTACAGATCTGGCTTTAGTTGCCACTGGTGACGTACCCAAACGAAAATCGCATGCCAGCACACACTATACCAGAGCACAACTTCACTGCACACTTGCGCATTTTTGGAATTGACTCAAAAAAAAAAAAATGCCTGGCAATGACGAAGTCCGGTAGATACTGTCAACGGTTTGTGGAAATTGACATTCATCATGCCAACCCCTGAATGGCCCACATGACGGTCCAAAAAGCGTTCAAGCCCAGTCCGCACCTACGTGCCGAAAAAAAAAAATAAACACAAAAAAAGAAAGAAAAAAAAAAAAAAAAACCAGCCGGCACGGCGCGAGAGAGAGGGGGAAAGGTAGGCAGAGGAGATGCCAGTGGCATCTCCATAGAGCCCAATGCGATGCGTCGGGAAACTCGGCAAGAAGAGGGCGGGAGAGAAAAGTGGGGGAAGATAGCGACGGACGAACTATTGACAAGCCTAAGTTCCGGGTGCACGTATTTGTTCAGTCGTTGCCGAAATATTTCACTGAATGTTCTGTTCTTCGAATGGACCTTTTGTTGAAATACGCGGTGCGCATGCGCGGAGTATTTGATGCGCCTGGGTTCGAGAGTATCTAGTTCTAAACAATCCGCCATCTCGCTTTTCTCGCCTTTGCGCGCCTTGGAGACCATCGAGACTCAAGTTTTGATGTTGCGAACAAGGTGAACACGAGTGATCGTACTGACGACGCCCGTTCTAGATAACGACGTGCACCGCAATCATGCCGGTGAACTGTGTAGCCTTCGGCTGTCGAAACTATTATCGCCCGGGTTGTGGAACTAGCTTTTTTCGCTTTCCGTGTGGTAAGCTTTATCCCGTTAAGCGGGCAGCCTGGATTCGTGCAGTCAGGAGAGTTGACAAGTCCGACCCCTCGAAGAACTGGAAGCCGAGTCAGCTGTCCAGACTATGTAGCGCCCATTTTATTACAGGTAAGTTGACTTGTCATTTTTGCAAGCGATAGAGCTTTGCGAAGTGCGGCGATGATCACATCTCTTCGATTGCAGGGAAGCCGGCGTTAGAGAAGGCACACCCGGACTATGTCCCTACACTGTTTAGCTACTCGCGTCCACGGCCGTCTGCCCTCGGTCGGTTTCAACGCTGGTCCTCCAGATCATCAACCCAAGGTGAGAACCTTTCCCCGTCACACCGGCGATGCGATCTAGTCGCGCGATAACTTTCATCGCGAGCAAAAAGCGACGCGATTTGAGCAGTCGCTTGCTGACCCGACTTTTTGCGACGCGATCTAGTCGCACCAGAGCGGCTCAGCCAGTCAATGGCGTTCGGAGCGAGAGTTTTCGAGAAGCGACTCGCCAACGAAGGCGTTGGACTCGCTCATCGCGCGCGCCATCTAATCTAATTTTTTTGCGATACGATCTAGTCGCATCGCGTGACTACTTACATCGCCGGCGTGAATGAGCCAACGATGATGCTTTAATCAACGAAAAAGAAGAAAAACAAAAGCATGTCAAGTTAAATTTGTAAAGTTGTCACGAGAGATTTGAACTTCTAAAGCTGTCCCCCTCCAAAAAATTTAAAAAAAAATATTCACATTATTGGTGTGGTTTTCATTTCAAAGTTGGGGTCGATTTTACTGCGAAGAAATACTGTCGTGAGGGTTGTTCTTTCGTTTCGGCAAGTTATCAAAAACAGTACACTGGCCATTTGTAAGTCATTCTCATTTCAGAGACAGCATGTTTAATAGCAAGCACTAGAACAAACACTTCTAGTATTGTGATGTGGAGGCAGGGGCGGAACCAGGACAGGCAAAGTATGAAGGAATCAGTATGTAGAAATAGCCGGCAGTGCACAGGAATGTTGACAGTTGCAAGCTATGTATAGGACGTATCCACACATGGCTACCAGACGGTGCACTGTGAGTACTTCGCCAATTATGTGCCTGTGATAGCAAATGGCAGCGCCTGCACAGCCGCAAGAGCTATATGTTACTCGGCACACTTTTTTTTGGTTGAGGTGACACCGTTCACAAAAACGGTGTCACTTGTGGCAGTCGGCTGTGGTATGAGGACCTAGGATGCACTTGAAAAAGGAAACCGAGGACAACAGGCATTGCGGACTCCGATCCAGAGAATCGTAACACACATAACCGCGCAAAGGTTCAGTCGCTCTCCCTGAGTGGGCAGCGTGAATTACTCGCTTGCATCAAGCGAGTAATTCTACTCGCTTGCCCAATCTTGCACTCGCTTGCCCAATCGGAACTGTACTCATCAAATTTGATATAGTGCTTGCACAATGCCGAATCAATCAAAAAAGAGCCAAAGGAGAGAACGTGCAATGTGTTAGATTTTTTGCAGTGACAGCTAAGGGCAACAACAGACTTCAGGATTTCTGCCAGGTAAAGAAATGCGTGCCCACGAGCAGTGGTGTCTTTCAATACCAATTTTCTGCTGCTCCTGCGGTAAGGAACTTCCATTCCAGTCTCTCTAGCATCTTGTTTGTCAAAATAAAACTTTGTTTCTGCAAGTAGGTCATCCGTGCTGACACTTACCCGAAACTCTACTTGTCGCAATCTTTGTCAAGGTTTTCTCCATTGTTGCGACCGCGAGTAATTCACGTTGCCTCCTTACGGAGGGCGACCGAGCCTTTTTGAATTCGTATGTTCGAACTCTAGGAAATTGCGAAAACCAGGAACCAGCAATGCCTGCTGTTCTCGGTCTTCATTTTCGAGTGCGACACTGTTTTCATGCGTGATGTCACCTGAAACGGTCAAAGATTCCCTGCGTTGTGTGGCCATTTCGTTGAGGGTGGCCCATGCAGCTGTGCGGACACGGCCATCTGCCCATCTGCTATCACGGACGCCATGATGATGATCACGAACAAAAAGTGCAACGCTTGCTAGTCGCGTGTGAATATGTTCCATTGCATCATACAATCTAAAAGTGGTGTGCATCAGTAGCTAGGTAAATTTTAATAAATTTCTTGTTCGAAATCCGCACCTTCATGTGTGTATGTTCATAAGTAGTGGTGTTTATAGAGACTTTATGCAATTTCGAAACTTTAACTCATTTAATATATTTACTTGATTATCTGTATCATCTTCAGAGGCTGCGACCAGTGGTGAGCCAAGCCAAAGAAGCTCGTACCCAGTGTGTCTGAGATTGATGCAGGTACGACGTGAAATAATGCAGAGGCTGAAACTGTTATGCTCGTTAATCACATTTATTGCTTTCCAGAATCCAAAGATACTGCAAGCAGCTGCGGGGATGGAGAAGGTATAAGCATCAGTTTGATTTATTGAATCTTTTTTGGACTGTTGGGTTTCAGTAAATATTTGTCACAATTACTGGCTGTCAGTATATTTGTGTTTATTTAAAGCATAAATATGTTTCCCTAGATCAACGTATTATGCCTTGTGCTTGTTACAGTCGCCATGTGCTCAATTGGTTTACAAATTTGCGGTTCTCAACCCACAATGAATGTTTGTCCCCATCAGAATCCGCACTGGGCGACTGCGTCGAGGAGCTACTCACCTCAGTTGCCCCTGCCTCTCCACAAGGCACTGCAGTTCTTCCTTGTGGTGCTAGGCTTTACAGAGTACTGAGTTGAAATGGGCAGGCGGCTTTGGCATAGGCGATCATATGCCTTGTGCTTGTTACAATCGCCGTTTGCTCAACGGATTTACAAAGTCGCTGTTCTCAATCTACAATGAATGTTTGTCCCCACCAGAATCCGCACTGGGTGACTGCGTCGAGGAGCCACTCTCCTCAGTTGCCCCTGCCTCTCCACAGGTACTGCAGTTCTCGCTTGTGGTGCTACGGTTTATAGGGTACTGAATTGAAATGAGCGAGACGGCTTTGGCATAGGCGAGCTTATCATGCCTAGTGCTTGTTACAGTCATCGTGTGCTCAGCTGGTTTACAAAGTCGCTGTTCTTAATCCACAATGAATGTTTGTCCCCACCAGAATCTGCAATGGGCGACTGCGTGGAGGAGCCACTCTCCTCGGTTGCCCCCGCCTCTCCACAAGGTACTGAAGTTCTCGCTTGTGGTGCTAGGGTTTATAGGGTACTGAGTTGATATGAGCAAGACGGCTTTGGCATAGGCGAGCTTATCATGCCTAGTGCTTATTACAGTCATCGTGTGCTCAGCTGGTTTAGAAAGTCACTGTTCTTAATCTACAATGAATGTTTGTCCCCACCAGAATCTGCAATGGGCGACTGCGTGGAGGAGCCACTCTCCTCGGTTGCCCCCGCCTCCCCACAAGGTACTGCAGTTCTTGCTTGTGGTGCTAGGGTTTATAGGGTACTGAGTTGGTATGAGCAAGACGGCTTTGGCATAGGCGAGCTTATCATGCCTAGGGCTTGTTACAGTCATCGTGTGCTCAGCTGGTTTACAAAGTCGGTGTTCTTAAAGGGACCATGAAATGACTTTTTTACTTTTTCCAGATAACTTTTACATTAAACCGTCAATGTTCACTGAATGCCGAACAGGCATCCGTTTTCGTCTCGGTTTATTAACTTCTACACAAAAAATTAATGAAATATCGACTTTTTCTTGACCGCAAAACAAGCCGTGACGTACGCTATTTCCGGAACCGGAACTTCTCTCGGCAGTAGGAGATGGGAGCATTAGCGGCGACGAGTTGGGGTGCGCCGGTAGGTTTTACTGCGCCGATGTCACCGATGTATTTTCTGAATCGGCACCTCTCATCACCGCATCGCAGCTGAGCGAAATTCAACGAGATATGTTGCGCTACAGCGACAGCATGGGACTAGTCCCATACACCGGTATGCCTGTTGGGAAGTGCAGCGAGTCTTCCGGTGAAGACTCCAGAAGTCAACCCAACTGTCATTGTTGGCAAAAGGCGGCCAGTGTCAGTCGTTTGCAAAGCGACGTAGATGGAAACAAATTGCCGCGGCGTTTTTCGCGATCTCGGAGATGCAGGAGCGAGCCGACGTTAAAAAAGATACGTATGAACTACGAGTGTCAGCAAGAGCCACGTAAATACCTGTTAACACTCGGAGCGGACGCGCGCGTTTGATGGAAGTGCTGTATTCGCGCTGTTGGTAAGCGCTTCGGGACCGATCTTTTACGATTGCAACTCGATACTGACGCGACACTCGGCAAAGAAAGGTTGGACCGGTATTGCACGTATACCTCTCACGAACTGTTACAGCTCGACAGTGACGTGCAGTCTGTCAGGATAAAAATGGCATACCAATAACAAAGTGTACATACCGTGCTACGAAGGTAATCCATACAGCGTTTATTTCAGCTCTATATCACACAAAACAAGAAGAGAGAATCGACGAGGGTCCCTTTTCGATGAGTGTTCGTCAACACTGCCTCGGAAAACAAGGGGAAGAGATTGACCTCACCTCTTAACGTAAAATTGAGGTCAGCGATCAAACTATTATACGGGAAGGGTCCACAAGGGTACCCCACAAGGGTAGCGCGGGCATATTCCATTCAGCACGCCAGCCGGTCGCAGGCAGACAGACGGTCTTGCGACGAAGCAACGCTGCGCCGAGTCGGAGTGCCTGCTAGGCCTATATTCTGAGAGCTTCGTCGGAGCGCGATTCGCGGCTGTTGTCGCTCTTCTCGGGTGTTTGTGGATCCAGCGTTCTTGTTCGTCGTGGTCTGTTTTAAGTACATTTTTTTCTTGCTGCTTGAAGTCGGCACGCGCAAGATGAACACGTAGAAAAATAAACGTTCAGTCAGTCAGAGTTTTGAGAGGAAGGAAACCAAAGGAAATAACCGTTCTCAAGTCGGCCCGGCCAGCCCAGCCCTACTGCGCACGCGCAGTAGTTGCTTCGTTTACCACACGATAGATGGCGCTTGGCTCTCAGCATTATCAAATTTGGCAATTTTCGCCACACATCTCTAATTATGCTACAAAATGTGGGTCTGAATATTATTTAACAAAACTTTTAGGAAACATTCGCCGGCTATTTATTGTTTACGATCGAGGTGCTGGTGAGGTAGGCTCTTACCCAATAGGCGACGTGGATTCGGCGGACGTGCTCCATTTCTGCGGATGCATCGTAGTGAAAAGGCAGAGCTTTCGAAGGAAAGAAGTCGCAAAAGAGTCCAGTTTTCTTTTAAAAGTTCTATAGCAAATTATTTTTTTTTGGCTCCCTAGTTTTGTGTTTCTTTTCACACCTTTTACGATGTGCGGTGGATGAAATTAGATTTTAAAATCATTTCATGGTCCCTTTAATCCACAATGAATGTTTATCCCCACCAGAATCTGCAATGGGCGACTGCGTGGAGGAGCCACTCTCCTCGGTTGCCCCCGCCTCCCCACAAGGTACTGCAGTTCTTGCTTGTGGTGCTAGGGTTTATAGGGTACTGAGTTGATATGAGAACATGACTCTTATAGGCTCTCCATCAAATGGAGCTGCAGAAAACCCAGTCACTGAAGCTGCTTTAAATTCTCCTAATTATCCTCCGTTTTTTACAGGACCCAGCAAACGAGAAACCATGACACCTGAGATTTGCAAGATGCTGCAGTCTCAAGACCTCAAGATTGCAAGGCTGCAGCAAGAGGTTTTGAGGCTGCAGGCAGAGAATGCCCGCCTCAATAGAGAAGTGAACGACCTGCTGTCCAGGCAGCTCACACTAAACATGATCTGTAAAAGCAAGATAGACTGTGCGTTTTATACGGGCATGTCAGATTTTGAGATTTTTGAGGGGATTTACGACTACTTAGCGTATTATGCTTCCAGGATGGAGTATTGGGGCATTAACAGGAGGTCACCGGGCGAGAAAAAGGGTCGGTCGCGAGAGTTCGAGCCGAAAGAGGAATTTTTTATGGTGCTGGCTCGGCTTCGAACCGGAATGTCGGGAAAGGAAATTGCTCGGAATTTCGGCATTTCCGAGGGCCATTTCAGTAGGGTGTTTGCAACTTGGATCAATATTTTGCACCGCCAGTTGAAGGCCTTGACGCGTTTCCCAACGTGTGAAGATCTGCAAGGCCACTTGCCTGCCGCTTTTTTGAAGTTCCCTGACACGCGCGTGATCTTGGACGGCACTGAAGTGCGCATTGAGAGGGCGTCATCACTAGCGGCCCAGCGGCAGACCTTTTCATCTTATAAACACTACAGTACGTTCAAGGCAGTTGTTGGCTGTGCTCCCGACGGTTACATCTCTTTTGTTTCAGATCTGTGGGGAGGGTCTTCGTCTGACCGCGTGATCGTTGAGAAAAGTGGGCTCTTAGAACAGCTTCAACCAGGTGATGCCATCATGGTTGACAAAGGTTTTAAACTCAATGACCTGCCACCGGGTGTGCGAGTGCACATTCCTTGCTTCCGGAAACCTGGAGAGCCGCAAATAGGTGAGAATGAGCTCTCGCACACCCGACATGTAGCAAGTGCTCGTGTCATTGTTGAGCGTGCGATTGGCAGAATTAAACAGTTTCACATTCTCGACAGACCGTTCCCCATCACAATGATGGACCTAGCTGAGCAAACCTTTCAAGTTTGCTGCTACCTGAGCAACCTTCGTGGTCCTCTAATTAAGAACTAAAAACCAGCCGCTAAGAAAAAAAAAAGCCGCTAGTGATGACGCCCTCTCAATGCGCACTTCAGTGCCTTCCAAGTTCACTCCTTGACGAGATAGTAGCCTTCGTTGTCCGTCCCCCCTTTCTATGTATCTTCCTCATGTCTAATTACCGTTACCAACACGCTCGTTTTGTACTTAAAAACCACTGTTCTGCTGTTTCAATAGACCTTTCTCTCAACTACCCAAACATCAACTCTGCCTCCTTGCACAGGAAATGCTGTCTCCATTTTAATCTCAATGAGCATCGTACCAGCGTACGGTCGTGTATCACTACTGCGTGATGCATGTTAAAGACCCCAGGCTAGCGTTTGCTCTGCACTGGCTAAATATCTCATCTACAGCTGGGAGCCTCGTTGCCCGTTGATGCAGACCAAGTTCTAAGCTGTATAAACATACACACAACCCAATTTTTTCGAAATGGTGTCTCTTCGTCTTGGTCAGCATCAGACCGGATGTGATCTTGGTGACGATGCGCGATGACAGTGTCATAGTTCTCTTGTACCTGCAGCTTGTAAGTTCACTCCTTGACGAGATAGTAGCGTTTAGTCACTCGTTTCCCAGTCGGCTGTTCAACAGACAAACTTCGTCATTGACACGAAACTCCCATGCTCGAACCCTTTCTGTCATCTGAAGAAACTGATGTCTGGTCACGTTGGCTTCCACGGACGGCTTGACAGCATACAATCTTGTGTGGAGACATCTTCACAACAGCAAAATCGCTGGTGGCTCTCCAGTTGTTGAATGTGGAACGTTGCAGTCGCTTAGAAGAGACTTGCTAAAAGTTACCCGTGGCTGCTTGGGTGATGTGGTGCTGTCGACACCGGGCACATTCCGCTGCTCTTCAAGAACAGGAATGTTGAAATAAGTGTTTTTTTATGTACATATGGGTTTGTTTTGTTGCATTTGATGCTTAGTGTTGTGTTGCTGGTTGTGCAATAGGAAATTGAGAGTTATAATTACTATTGTCACTTTGTTTATCCTATATTCTGAAAAAGGATGAGAGTTCTGGTGTCAATAAACTGTTAGAAACCCGCACCTGAGGGATGTGATTACTGTGCCAAAGTGCTTACCCTGCCACATTTTTCCAAAATTTGAGGAATTTGTGCCAACAGTAAATATCACTTGATACTGAAAATATAATAGCTCAGGCCTCGCTACATGCCACATTGTTATAGTGGGCTTCTGCGAATTTTCATGAGTTTTGAGTATGTAGTATTTGATTTCTTCTTTATGAAACGCTGAAGGTACTCTGAAGTTTTCCAATATTTCTCGTGTGCTTGATCTGTTCCGATAGGTTAGCTAGCTTTGTTGAGTGCGCCTCTCGCTGCGCACCGGTGTACTGGAGTGAAGCGACAACCACAAAAATGGACATCACAATGTTGCACATTTTGCTTTGCCGCAGTGCATCAGCGTGCTAAGGGAAGGCACTCTTCCAGTGCAGGTCTCAAATTTGAGATTTACCAAGGATACTCGAGTCTTGCCAAAAAAATATTTATATGGCCAGCTCTATAGGTTTATTTTATGTTACACTCTTGTTTAGTTATTACTGTGGCCGTCAAAAGACCCATCAGATGCCAGTAAAGAAGAAGCATCGCCGACAAGCTTCAGTGCGCCTTTTGCACGTGCGAAAGACCTCTGGGGCATGAACACGCGCGTCCCGAGGCTGAAGCTCTGACCAACCGCCATTCTCATTCCAACTGATCCCGGCGCTCGGTCAGTTAGCTAGCTCCGAATTTATAATGATAATTAAAAATAGTTTCTATTTTAAGTAGCATGGAAGTCCACGTGTTTTCAGCGCTACATTACCTTTAAATTGCTTCATACCTGTTTGATCGCACAATGAGTGCAGTAGATTGAAACTAAATTAGCTGGAGCAGTGGATAGAAGTTCAGGAAGAACCTTATCAAGTTCATAGGGCTTATTTTTAGTATGCACACTCAAAATATGGGCACCTTAGCCATGACAATACATTGAAATGTTCTTGCACATTAAAACAAATCAACAAGCGTAAAGCTCAAATAAAGGGTTAATCAGCAAACCTGTGCCAGAAACAAAATAAAGAAAGAGCGTTGAGAGAAGCAGAAGCGAATGTCGGAGCGTTGGTTGGCTAGCGAGAGTGCGCGCTGTCATCGGGAGATTGAGTCGGCTAGTCTAGACGTAGGGCAACACCTTGCCCATCTCTTGTGCTCTACGTCGACATACATCATGTCGGCGAAAGTCTTGTTAAGCCGCTCCGTTAGCCCGCTGGTCTGCAGGTGGTAAGTAGTGGTTCGATGATGGCTGGTGTGGCTGAGCCAAATGATACCTTGCGTCAGCTGCACGAAACACGCAGTTCCTTGGTCTGTAACTAAGATTTCAAACGCTCTGTGAAGGGGAACAATAGGCTCAACAAAAAAACTTGGCAACTTGAACCTCAGTCCTACACGAAAGGGCTTTCGTTTCAGCGTATCGCGTAAGATGACCTGTGGCAACGATTACCTATCGGTTCCCTGGGAACAACAATACCCTGCTAACACAAGGCATTGTTATTCCCAGGGTGGCCTCAGTCGTCTGAATGGCCACAGACGTCTCATTTATGTTTCGAAACAGATCATTAGCAATTAGTTAGCTGCCCACACTGCTGACGCACGTTGTTGTTATTCTCAGAGTGGCCTTGGTCGTATAGACCATTTCATCCTCCCTCGCATGGGCGCTGCCATCTTGGAATCACGTGGCGCGGCAGCCATTAGGTTGCTTCAACTTGTTGTTCCGCTCCCCCCTCCGCGCCCTGGTGGATGCATTCTCTTTGTGTTTTTCGCCGCGTTCCATCGCGCTTTGTTGCCTTACTTCGAGGGCACAAAAGTCCTTGTGGCAACTGAGGTTTGTTTACTAATAGAGCCGGAACAAAAGAAGCGCCTATATTTATATCGCGCGTTTAGCACCAGAAGGCGTCAAGAATAGTCAGCGCAAGGAGGCTATCTGTATTTAATGAAAGTATCTTTTTTATCTTTTTATTTATAATATATCTAAAACAGTTTATGTTGATTATGTGACGAAACTCGTGGAGGAAATAGACAACGGACGTTTAACTTGTATTTTATCTGAGACTAGAAATAATGGTATGTCAACTTCAGGCGATTTGTTTGTTCATAATATCACACCTACATGTGCATGAGGTTCTCAATCTTTTTTTGCAGTGTAAAAGATAAGCATTCGGTTGGTCGGTTTACTTATGAAGTTTAATAAATTGTATACAATGATCGCTCGCATTTCGACAGTCATTTAAGGGATTTATTGATTATCTTTAGATAACCAGATCAATTTACGAACAAAAAGTTAGGGCGCAAACAAGCTGGTGAAGGTTTAACATTTTGGACAAAACCCCCTGGTCTTGGGGTTTTGTCCAAAAGGTCAGTTAAATTTACTTAATTTATTTTTACACAAAGGTTGGGACTTCCCGCGCAACTGCCACAGACAACTTAACAGTGGCGAGTTTTAGAATCGCGTGCACAAAGAAATAACGTCGTATCTATTTTGAAATCCAAACGCGAGTTTGGTTCAGCGCATGCGCAATAATAACAACGCTTTTTTTTTTCCTTTTTTTTGTGTACGCTGTTTTAATATTTGCCAGTATCTGGGGATTGCAACATTTGGCGCCGGGAAAAAAAAAAAAAAAAGTCTGCATAACAATCACCCGAGTCCAGGGCTGTCGATGGCGGATAGAGGTTACTTTTGATGACTGGCGACGCAGAAATTTACAAAGCGAATCTGTTCAAACAAATGAATATTTGTTTATACAGGCCCGTGAAGTGGTGCCTAGCTCTTCCGAGGTATTTCTCCTGCACCCTTTAATTTTATTTGACCAATTTTACGGAAGACAATTGCAGATTTAGTTTGACGGGCCTGTCACTTATATCATATCTTGAGTAAGCAAATGTTCATATAAGAATAATTTATTTCCTAGGGCCAATATCGCGAAATGCTGCTTATGAGTACTTTAGAACGTTTGATAATTTAGGAAATTTCCTACTCGGCCTGTGAAAATGTCCTTGAGTACTGAATTTAAAAAAAAAGAGGCCGAGACGATACTACTTGTTTATATAAACTATCTGCGCCATTACACTATAGGTTTTTAGTCCGCGAAGCTCACTAAAGGTTGAGTGCTCACGAAAACCAAACAGTGAGTACTAAACTCACGAGTTCATCTGTTCTGCCCGATTCAGCACATTGCCAATCAAGCTGACGATATGCTACTTTACATTCCCGTGCTAGTCTCTTCATTAGTTTATTTTTCTGGAAACTGGTGTCATCGGGCATGGCCGTAGACGATGGTAATCTTCCCTGTGCATTAGCCTGGTGTTTCGCAACCGACCATAATGAGCTACATCAAAGGAGTTCGTAAAAAAGCCTGCAATTGAGGCTCAAAAACGCCTTGTGGTCTTCAAAGTGGGTCAATGTCACTGTTCCATTGGTTATGTGCTACAAGGAAAATATTTGTATCACCAAATTAAGCAAAAACCACGTAAAACAGCCACATAGCTGCGTGCACGTTCAAACCGAAACCAACCAAATTGAAGCAACCTAATGGCGCCGACTGCATCAGCGCCCTCTATCCGCCGGTGAGGCAACTACTAAAATGAAAAGGTCTATAAATGGCCACCGACGTTTGGTCTATGCTTCAAAACAGATCATGAACATGATACACGGGAGGTCAGTGGTGGACACGAAAAACAATCCGATATTAAAGCATATGAGTGGTCCTTAATAGGACCGTTTTGTGTTCCGAGATGTTCCATGCTTTCTCCATGATGGTGGCGGTAGGCTTCGTCAAGGGGCTTGACACCAGACAGGTCACTCTTGGATGGGGTGTCCTCTCCATCCAGCTGAATGACGATGGGCTGGATGTGGGCACTTGTGGCACCGCCTCGTCGGAACGTTGCTTTAGTGTCAATAACGTGCCTCACAGCATTATACCAATTGACAGTGGTGACCTTGCCAACTTCTTCGTTGAGGAGTGTCCCCACGTCGACGATCTTGAACGTTGTGTTTCGGGCAGCAACGCCGTTCTTGATCTGGGCCCATATCAGTTCAATGGGGTTGAACTCGCAGTGATACGGTGGGAGCCTAAACACAGTGCAGCCAGCCGTCTCGGCAGCAGTGTCCACACAATACTTTAGGTGCTGTGGCTTCACCAAGGCCACAATGTCGAGCAGCTGCTTCTTCAGCATCATGGGGTCCCATGAAATTTTTTTTAGACGTCAGCCACTGTCGGATGCTATCCTTGCGGGAACTCGTCGTCGGCACTGCTTCCAACCGCTGTGAATG